ACTTCAAGCTGAACTCTTGCATAAAATCTTTGCATGCCAGTTTGCATTAAAGATTGCAGATAGATAGGACAGCTAGGTATGTTCTTTGACTTCATACGAAGTATTAAAGACCTCTTTGACCTGTTGCCTGAAGTCAGATGCTGATGAATTGTTGGTGATTGTATTCTTATTCTCCAAACTACAGAGAAAGGAGCAGTACTCACACCTTTCAGATGAGGTTAAGCTGATGAAATACCCAACTCAAGGTGCATTTCTTTGGCCGTATCCCTCAAACTGTGCCTAGACTCTTTAGAAACCACAATATGTATAATGACTGTCCTGGTTCCTGTACAGAGTGGTAGGATCTGTAGCTCAATTTGATCTTAGATACTGGGCATTGACCTCTAGCATTACCCTGAGCTGGGGGAAAAGAACAGTTTCTGTATCATCATTATCTATCCATGGAATGACAGGAGCATCACATTTTTGTCTAGAGTGCAGATACATTTTCATTATAAGGACAAGGGAGGAGAGGGAATGTTTTCTCTTAAAAGAAACAGAACTCAAGTGAGGAGGATAAGGAAAGTCCACAAGCTATTTTTCAATTAGGCTGCTGCTCTGTAGCGAAACCTGTTCTACATCTCGAGGAAAAAAGAAAAAAAAAAAAAAACAAAAACAAAAACATGCACACACACAAAAAAAACCCAAAATCTTTATTCAGAAAGTCTGATGTTTGTGATAGCTTTCAAATGTCCAAATAATGTTTTGGAGAGCTAACCTTCCTTCTGAGGAAAGCTACCTTATCAGAGTGAAAAAAAGATATTGTTTCTTAACTTCAGATGGCCATCTGAAATGTGTGAAACCCTTAGAGCACAGACTTAGAAAAGACTTGCACGTTTGTGTGTTTTCTTAGCTTGTTAGGCTCTATTTTGTGATGCACGAGAGAATGCATTTATCAGATAGTTTCCCTCTTCTTTCCATTCTTTCTTGCTTTCTATTCCCAATATTTCACTACCCTATTCCCACCCGAAGAGAGTTCTGGAGCCAAAAATCAGCTAGTGGTGCTTTGTTTGGTTGGTTTTGGTGGTGGTTTTTTTTTTTTTTTTTTTCACGAGTCAGAACCTGAAGACAGGTCAACCTTCATGCAGATGGCTGTATCCTTGTAAATCATGAGGCTTTTAGCCTCTACCTTTTGGCCATAGTATGGGAGGATGGAAGGAGAGAGATTGTTCCAGTAGGCAAAACAAGCACAAACAGAAGCAAAGAGGATAAAACCTGTTAAAGACAAACACAGAAAGTGGGTTCCCCAGCAGATTTGGTGGTTTTAAAATTCTGGATCCTCCAGGGGAAGAGAAGTTATTTTATCCCTTTAAGTTTTTTAGGTGCACAATCATTTGCTCCCACACAGCCCATTTGGCACGTTTCAAACAAGTCAGAAGTGTGTCCAGAGCCAGCTTAGCAGGGGTGGAGGAAGGCATGGCAGTCTGTGGAAGCCACAGTACACGGAGGGGTGGTGCAGGCAGCAGCACAGCCCCAGCCCTGCGGAACAGCCTCCCCATTACAGCTGAGCCAGGGTGGGGTGGGACACCCGGAGTTGCTCAGCACGAGCACCTACATCGTGTCCCCAGGGAAGATTCAAGCTAAAATAGTGGACGTCTGAGGCCACTCAAAATATTCCACAGTGAGTGTTTTTTCGTAAGCAGTTGTGGTTTCAGGAGCCCTGTTGGCTGCTACTCTGAGAACAATACAAATTTCCCGGGTTTGGGGAGAGTGTCTCTCTAGGACTTGTTTGTGTTTCTGTGCAGGCTTGTGGACTGGGCTGAAGCTGGTTCAGCGGAGTGTGCTGGCTGCTGCTCGGGAGCATGCTGGGGCTCTCCGTGCACAGGCAGCTCCTGATAACCTGCCACTGCATGCTGACATTCATCGTTGTTATTGTCATTCTCACCAGGAAGTGACAGATTTTTATGTAAGCTGCCAGGTCATTAAGTAACTCTGTCGTGGTTCAGTACCTTCACTTTTACACTGTAGTGCTTGGATACAGGAAAAAGGTTGCTTATGAATCAATGACATTGAAACAAAGCCTTATAAAGAAACTGTACTGCAGGTTGGGGTTTGGTGTTGGTGTTTTTTTTGGGCTTTGGTTTTGGGGTTTATTTTTGATTCCAAGTCATGCTGACCCTGCAACACTTCAGGGTTTTGCTCAGGCTATATAAGACTATAGCTAGGTAGTTTCTGTAGCTATGTAGTTTATATGGGACTATAAACTACAAATGGTGGTATCTACACATAATGACTCTATTTAAATAGCCAAAATAATTACAAGGCTTCTCTTCAAGAATGATATCTTTCCATATAAGATAATACATTCTGACTGTAGAATTCAAATGATAACAATAGAAGCTATTCTGCTTTATAGCTGACTCTTTTTCAGGAAAATCAATGAGATGTCTTATAAGAGTTTGTGTGATATTAGAAGCCTTCCATTTTTAAAACAGAGATCAGGATCTGAGTTATCAAGCTGAGCAGTTCTTGCATCTGGTTGCTGATGTGAGAGTAGCATAGCAATAGTTTTGGGCATGTTCAGACTGAGGAAGAGTGCTTGGACATGAAACAGGAGCTGTCATGGATTTTTTAGGCTGATGTGGAAAGAGCTAACCTAGCAAGGTTTAATGAGGGAAAAAGAAAACAGCTTTGCAGTTGGTAGGACTAGGTTAACTTTTCATCTTGTGCTTATGGTAGACTGGATTCAGTCAGTCTCTCTGGGTAGAAGCATTGCCAATACGTCTTTTCATTCAGTGATAGCTTCAGTCTACACTCAAGCTAACCTGCAGCTTCTCGAAATGTGCAATTAAATGGTGCTTGTCTCTCCCAGAGGCCTAATAAATATCAGGAAAAAGATAATCACTGCATCCAGCCTCAAAAATTATGGCAAAATTCTATAATAAAGGGTAAGAAATTTTTGCTCTTAGAACTGTATTGCTTTTGCAAAATAAGTGAGTGAGGCACTGTACTGGCATGACACAAAATACAAGTAAAGTTTATCTGAGCACTTACAGTCACTGGAATAGGAGTAGGTGTTTCTAGTGTTACTGTATCTTGGCTTCATTTTTTTTATTGTTCACCTGAAAGTCTGCAGCATTCAAAGGGAGATAAGAAGTTTTTAATCTATTTGTTTGATTAGAGAGTAGGTTTTATTTTATCTTCAAACATTTTTAATGACAGCTGAGTAAATTTTTTTCATTTCAGAACGTGAATTAAAAATCACTTTAGGTGAATTGAACTGGTTGTCAAAAGCTACCTTTGGTTGAGCAGAAGTTGTCTAAGAAAATAACAGCAGTCATCCACTCTCAAGCTTGACTTGATAAAATTATATTGGGGGCTTCCATGATGACGTTGATTCACAGATTTCCAAATCAGACATACTGATCCAAGATTAAAACAAGACAGTTTGGGTTGTTTTTTGGTGTTTTTTTTTGTTTTCTCTTATCCTCCCCTTATTTGCCTAACAAACTCAGCAAAAGGTCTGAAAAGCTGACTGGATTCTTCTGCATTATTCTCATTGTGAATCTGAGATATAAATGACTGATCCTGGAACTGGAATTTGGGAAGGGGCAAGATATGAATTTTGCTGCTATCTGTACTGACTTCTTGAAATTAATAGGATCAAAAGGAGGAAAAAAAAGTGTCACAAGTTATTGCATGAGAAGTGGAACTAGTAAAGTCAAGTTTATGATTTATGTATGGCCTTTATACTCTTATACTTCCCATTGCTCTATCTTCTTCTCTGTGACCTCCAAAAAGACTGAAAAACATAGGAAAACTGGAGATATAATCTGAAGACTGTTGCATCCCAGTAAGTTCTGTTGTAGCTGGACAGGAGGTTGAGAAGTTATCCAAAAGAGTTAATGAAGCTTAGAACTCAAGGCCATCAGAGAGAACTGCAATTGCGAAGACTAAATATGCTTATCTTATGGCTTTAGACAGCTAATACAGTGCAAGTAGACTTGAAAAATTCAACCCAAATTCATTGTATTAGAGACAGTATTGTGCCACTTCTGCAAGTTGTGGAATGTACATGAGCATGAGCAGTCCCACCAGTGATCAGCAGGGCTGCTTGAGTACTAACTTAGTATCTAACTTCAGATTAGAAGAGAGAATTCCATTGCTCTAGTTATTAACGTTCATTTAATGTTTGGCATTTTTATTATGTTTATAGCATTTATAATACCCATATGGTGCATTTAATCATAACGTGTTGCTTCAATTAAAAGTAGCATTTAAGATGATTCATGTGTTTTCATGCCACTCAGGCTCACAGTTGAAGGGGTTTCCTCCCAGGGTCATGAAGATCTTGTATTTAGTGATTACGCTATTTGTATAAAGCCTTAGTTAACTCTACTGATAAATGGTTAAGGAGAAGATCCTTTTATGTGGGTGTCCTCGTTCCCATCTCTAGCCTTTGCTGGAGCTCCACAGGTGTATTTCACACTCATGAGCATCTGAAACATGTCTGAGTTTTGTTTTCTTTCTAGCAAGTATCCTTTTCTTAGGTCCAATCCGATAGCTCGTTTCCCTTGAGCTGCTCTTTCAAGTGCAGAAGGATAATGTTTAATTTCAGGTAAAAACTATTTTAAACCAGAACAGATTTCACAATTAATAAAATAAGTTTTGTTGAGGGTGTTTTTTGTAAAAATATTTCTGACATGACTAAATCACAGGGCTGTTATTAAAATATTGTATTTTGGAAACAGTGACATTTCCACATGCTCTCGTACATAGGCTCTGTGTTTGTAATCTGTTGCTGCGTTTATAAATGGTATGTATGCACAGGAGGGTGAGTTCACACATCCTTTTCTGTTCATGCACACTGGCCTGTGAACTATAAATGGAATGGAAGGATGAACTTCAATGGGCACTTGCCACTTTGCAAGATAAATATGTGTTGAGTTAGAAATTTCTTGATATGCCTGGAATAGTTTAAGCAAGGACTGTGCCACATGTATTTTTCTTGTTATTTTTAGAAGTCCAGCTCCAGTGAGACCTGAAACTACATCATCAACTGGCCCTACAGAAAAGCAGGAGATTAAAGTTTCTCGTGTGAGGAAGTTAACGAGGCAGTACAGTTTGTGAGTAACTTACAGAATTATCTTTATGTTTTTGCCTACTGCAGCTGAAAATGAAGGGGGATGCTAATTATTACTCTAGCTATGCATTCTGAAAGGCATGAGTGCAATTACATGATAATGATCTTATACTGATAGTGTTCCTTTCATCACTGAGAATCTTCAAGCTTTTAATGCAAATTGAATTTGCTGTCCCTATGCTGTCCCTCAGAATTGCAGGCTCTCTGCCTTTTTCTGGGCTTATATGTTAGGGACTAAAAGCCTCTTTTCCACATGAAATGTCAAAGACCTGGTGTGAGCTGGAGCAAGCTGCTCTACCAGCTTCATTACAGCCTCATTTACAAACGGAGGAAAACAGTTAGTTTTTGGGTGATCAAACTGTGCCATCAGCCATTTCCTCTCGGAAAGCACACCTCCTTTCTCTCCTTCTCTCTGTGATTTTGTTACATGCAGAAATTGCTGAGGCTGCTACACCTACAGCCAGCATAGTTAAGTCTCTTAGTCCTGGCAAGAGTGACCCATGCCTATGTGGCTTTGGCGTCCCATGTATACATAATTCATCCAATCTGAGAGTCTCTGGAGATGACGTACTGAAAAGACATGGAAATTACTTTGTTGAGTTGTCCTTCATGTGAAAGGACAGACAAGGCCACCAGAAAGTAGAGGGGGGAAGGAGCAATGTCAGCACAAACTTATTAATACAAGAACACCAGTGCCATAATGAATAAAAAAAAATATGTATGCTTTCTCCATGGAATGGCAACTGTTAGTCCCTCCAGCAATTTAATCTTCTGATGTCAGTTACTAAGTATATAGCAACAAAAGCAAAAGTTTTCCTTCCCCCTATAAGGATTCTAATAAATATCAATATATATTTCTTTTCTGTCTCACAATTAATTAAGAATACTGACTTCTGTTACAGAAAAATGTAGCAATCTACATCACCCATGCTGAAAAATTATTTAGGAGAATAAATAGAAGAATGAATCAAATTGAAACTAGGAGGAAAATGAGCAATTAGCCAAATTGATATTTGTCCAAGAGACCAAAGCTGACATATGGGAGCACACAGTCACAGCTCAGTCAGCAGGCCACACAACACACCCTCTTTTACTATGATACATCAGCCAGTACTGTTTGAAAATGAGACAGGAGAGGGGAATTGACAAGTCAAGCTGAGAAGATGACCCAGCTTCCCTTGCTGCTTGCTAATCCTGAAGGTAATGTGTGACAGCGAACTTGGCAGCATTTGGTGGGAGCAGTTTCCCAAGGCCTGAGTGAAGCCTGCTCACTCACCCTGCACAGCATAGCTCAGGCAGCAGTGTGCTGTTCTCAAACCAGACACTACTTCTACTGCCTCTTTTTCTACAAGCCACGGAAAGGAAATCTACATTTTCCAAGATCTATTTCATTTTTCAGATTTTTATATAATGTCAGGAGTTGTAGGTAGCAGTCAGCAAAGGAAAAGGCTGTCACACTGAGAGGACCAATTATTTGATGCTCTTCATATGGCAGGTAATGAACAGGATGATCCTATGGTTTGAGCACACTCATGTGTAAGGACAGACAAGAAATTCATGTCCTATTGCAGGTATAGTCACAGGTTTTGTACACACACTTGGAAAACTTTTTGTTTTAAGATTTAACCTAAACAGGTTGTTAAACTTGGTCCTCAAACACAGCAGCATGTCATACAAAGAGAACAGGGTTGTGCTTTTCAAGACAATTTTGATGTAAAGGATACCCTGGTTATGTATGCAGAAGCACAAAAATTCCCATGGGACCATCAAAGTAAGGTAGTAGGATGTGTAGGTGTTGGAGACAGCAAGGCTAGTGAGAAATCAGTTTTTAAGAATATGGATGAAAACACTTACTCTAGGGTAGGTTAGGCCTGGAAAGGGTGTGTTTACCAATAAATAGAAGATGACAGCCAAAGGAGAGGTGTAGGCAATAGGACATACAGTAATGAATATAGTTACCTCAAGGGATCATCCCTGAAGTAATAGCAGAAAGAGCTATTAGTAGATGAATCTTGCCTGAGAAAGTATTTAGCTAACCCATTGTTAAAGAGCAAAGAGGAAATATTTGGGCTAGAGGCTCAGCACCTCCTTTTTCTGTACCTGAACTGTCAGCCAGTCCTC